CACTGTTGTTGGGGTCATCGCATGCAGAGCGATGGAAGAAGAGCAGAGGAATACGCGTACGAAGGCGATCAAGCGGCTTCGATCACAGCGTGTGGCGCGGTTCAAGAGTGACCTTCGACGACGCATTGATGCTGCTGGGCAGGTCTTCGACGACAGCATGGCCGAAGACTTGGAAATTTTGGACCGCGTCTTCGCGGACAGCGAGGCCGGCGAGGGAGACACCACCGCCGTCGATGAAGCAGCGATCGTGGCCGAGGTGCAGCCGGCCCCCGAGGAAGAGGGCTGCGATGAGACAAGACAAGAAGAAGGAGGAGGAGGGGGAGAAGAGGTTGAGCCAGCAGCCGATTCGATTGTACAGGAGGATGCCTCAGTCAAGGGAACCGAGGGTACGCTTCGCCTTCCCACAGCGCGTGTGTGCATTCGTGCTGTGCATCCAAGTCTCTAATGCTTGGTCGATCGCCCTCTCCTGCGTCGTTTGTCTCGCCACTTCCCGCAGGTCCGGAGAGCGAGGATGACGCGGTGGAAACGAGTAGGTTGTATGAACGAAAGCAGGCAACGAGAGAAGCCAAGGGCAAGGAGCGAGTGCATGAGTGGGAGGCGACCATCGAAGCAGCCCTGCTGGCTGCCCACCGCGGGGACTTTGACGAAAGCAAGGTGGTGCGCGAGCACGAACGGAGGAAGACCCGCTTTGGAAGCGAACTGGCGCAGCAGATGCGAAATCTGGAGCTCAAGACGGATGAGATGCGGCGCGAGCTTGAGGGCGTCGAGGGCTACGCTCCCTTCTGCCCGTCTTGCTTCCGGCCCATCGTGGCCCCTTGCCTCTGCCGCCTCGACGATGGTTCCTCCGACCTCGCCACCATCAGCCCGTGACTGTTCTTCTTGTACATCCTATCACATAATATTATTCCGCCGTTCCACACTGGGAGAGTCGTCGGGATCGCGCACGCAAGAGAAAGAGAAAGAAAACCAAAAAGAAATGGACCGCTCAAACGGCTTTCATTTTTTGCTTGGATCCGCAAGAGGCTTCGTGCCCGCCGCATTGAGCTCCAATGATGAAAACATCGCAAAAGAAAGCAAGCGATGCGGAAGCAGAGAAGGCCGACAAGAAGGCGCGGGCCAAGCCCGCCCAGGGGGCTATGGAGGACAAGGAGACATGTGGGGACTACGTATAGCCCCCCCCTCCGCAACTACTACT